TCCCATAATGCTTCCTTCAACTTTGTGTACCTGTTATTGCATGTCTGTACTAGAACCTAACATCAGCTGGCAGCAGTTTTGGTACGAGCTTTTGATGTGATTATTTGTGGTTGCTTCGCCAGGAAGGGCCAGGAATCCCAGGTGATTTGTCGCTCGAACAAATTTTTTGTTACAAGGAAAAAGCAGTTGTATTGGGGGGAATGCGATCAGTGTGGGTCTCTCCATTTCTGGGTAGGTGCTGGGTTGGATCTAGATAGTTAAGACATGGGATCAGCTTTTATTAGATAGCTGTTGTGGTGGGAAATTCTGTAGGACCTGTGTGTATGGTCATTAAAGGTGGATCAGGCAGCAGGAGACAACTGGGAAGATGACGTGCAAGCCAGCAGGACTCTAAGAGAGGCAGCCACGGGCTTCTTGAATGGTCTCATTCTCTTGATGCCCAGTGGTAGGTGACCTGGCTGCCTCATGGTCCACTGTCTGCTTCCTCCGAAGCCTTTGTGGTGTGGTGGTGGCCAGCACACTCTGACCACAGCCCAGAGCAGCAGGGAAAGCGGGACCGTGCTTGGAGATCCAATTTCCTCATTGGGCACACCGTGACAGGCTGTGCCTGGTGCCTTCTGCACTGAAGGGACTGCTCAGAGCTGGGCAGAAGGAGGCTCAGGCTTGCTTTCTTGGATCTTTGCCCATGGAGAACGTTGGCTTTCAGATGGAAGCGCCTTGGAGGGTGGAGACTTCTTTTTACCAAAGAAGGAGCCACAAACTCAGTGGTTGACTTTGAACTTAGTGAACTTCCACTATGGGTTTGGGAAAAGCCAGGGTGTTTTTTGTTCCCACAGCAGCATCTCCTCTCCTCCCTCTGCCCTTGAAGCTGGGGCCATGGTGGGCAGAAAGCATCCTGTCAGCTGTGTAGCCCTAAAACCAGCACCTGTGCCTGCAATGGGGGAGGGGGGAGCTTTTGGAAGCTTCTAGAATAAAGGTCAGAGGCCAGACAGAGAGTCCTGGCTGATGGGGTGCCTGCAGCTCTAGACAGACTCAGCCACCACTTCTTAGAGCAGCTATATTTCCTTGCACAGCTCGGGCAGGCCTCTGAGTTAGTATCCCATGACAACAGGTTGAATGGTTTGTGTGCTGGAAACAGAATGGGGCTTAAACATGGGCTCTAAGAGCAGTTTTGATTACATAAGTCTGTGAAACGAAGTTCCTGTGTATCAAGCATGGTTCAATGTAGTTCCAACAATTTTGTGAATGTGGTGTTATGATCTCCATTCACCTCTTGGGAAAATTGAGGCTCAGAGGGATGGGGTAGCTTGAACTGAGGTCTGGCTGAGTCCAGGCCTAGGGCCCTTACTGTCTGACCCTCTTCTGCAAAGCCAAGTTGTTGGCTTAGTTGGCCAGAGATGTTATTTTAACATGGACATGCGGGGATGCCTGATTAATGTCCTGGTGACACTGCACCTTCGAATGGGGCCTTCTGAGGAACAGCCTTGGGAGGTGGGTTAATGTTGCTTCTGTCGGAGGAAGCCCAGGCCGTCACTCTCCCCTGGGAACAGGCCTCGAGGCCGAGGGAGAGACCTGAGGTCCATGGGGGTTTGCAAAGAAAAGAAAACCCCATCATGTCATGGGCTGGGATCTCCATAATTCCTCTTTATTCTGCAGGTCAGTGACAGAGCAGGGACAGTGGCTGTGGGGGGGGGGATGGTGAGTGAGTAACAGACATGTCCAGGTGACTCCTGGCCATCTCCGCCGGCAGTGCTTGGGCCTCAAATCCTATAATGTCTGAGACGGAAGGAGCTCAAGCTCATCTTGTCCAGGCCCTTTCTGTTCAGATTGGGGTTCTGGGGCCCAGGGTGGACGGGGCTCACCCCAGAGAATTTGGGGCAGAGCTTGGCCTGGAGTCCAGACCCCCTGAACCTTAGCCCAGTGTATTTTTGATTAATGTTCGAAAAAATCAGATGCTATTTTGAAATAAAACCTGATGAATGCGCAGTCCTGATTTCCTTAACACTGAGCAGGTGGATTTTCTCCGTGGCTGGGTCACTATGGGTGGTTACCTGGAGCTGCCCCAGAAGATGAGCTGCTCTGTGGTCGCTTCTCTTCTGTGATACAGGCAGCGCATCTCTTCCACTTGGGCCTCACATCATCCCACAATGGTCCAGGCTTCTGGGTAGAAGAGAACAGAGGCGTTCCTCCCATGAGGCCTCCTCCACACTTGCCTGTAAGAGGTGGCCTTGAAGCCTACAGCGTGGAGAAGGGCAGGAGACTGAGGGTGTCTGAAAGACCCTCTCCTTTGGCCAGCTTGTGACCTGTTCCAGGAGAGGCTGAGGTGATTTCTCAGCCCTGGAGACACCTGCCTGGACTCTGGCCCATGGCGGCTCTCCTGATGCACAGACTGAGACTAGAAATAGCCAGAGCAGCAGACACCTGCTTATTCAGCTGCCCTGAGAGAAACTTAGAATTGGCTTCAGGTGTGGATTGCACAGTGGAGGGAGAGAGGAAAAAAAAAAAGGAAATGAGAACATCAGCTGTAACTAGAGACTCCAAACAGAGAAGAGCCATGCCAGGGGCTTGGTAACGGCTGCCCACAGGACGAGCACCCTGTGTCACAAATGAGGTAGATTGAGGCATGTGTCTATTATGGGGTTACCTGAATGGGCCCCACAGTGACTGCCAGACTTTGCACTAGTCCTAGAAAACAAAGGGGGCGATTATAGGAGATCTGGTCAGAACCACAGCCTCTGTACTGATAGTCCAGTGGGTCTCACTTGGGGACAGTTTTGTTCCCCAGGGGACATTTGGCAAGATTTGGTGACATTTCTGGTGGTAGAATCCAGGGTTGTGGCTAACGTTTTACAATGCCCAGGAAACTCTGACAATCAAGAATTATGTAGTCTGCTATGTCCACAGTGCTGAGGTTGAGGAAACCTGAGACGGCCCCATCCTAAGCTCTGCCAGGAGAGCAGGGCAGATGGGCAGCTGTAAAGAACTACGGCTGAGGCAGCCGGGGCTCTGGAGGCCTGCTGTCCACACTCTCCCTCCCAGGCAGGGTGGTACAGCGGCGCGCCCCAAGGAGCCCACCAGGCTGCTCTCAGGCACCCTGTCGAGGTGTCCCCTGCACTGGGTGAGGTGTTGTGCACCACAGCCAACCCTCCTGAGTAATTTCAGAGAGAAGCTTATAAAGTGTTTAAAGAGGTTGGTAAATTACAACTCCAGAAGCACATAAATGCTTCCATAAACGCCAGCCTTGCAAAGCAAACCTGTGTGGGAGAAGAGTGAGCAGGTTGCCCACGCCTTGGGAAAGCCCGCGTGGTGAGGCAGAAGATCTCATTTACCTTTATTCCTTAATTTTCAGGGTCTCCTCCCGGCTTGCTTAGCAACCTGGCAGTGCTCTTTGCTTGTTCTTTTTATTCCTTCCCTGTAAAGAGCCTGCATTGACCATCTCTGTACCCTTTGCATGTATCGGGGTGGGGTGGGGGTCAGAGCGAGCTGTCCCGGGGTCCTGAGTCTACCCTCCTAAATTCAGAGAACTGGGGCCCACAAAGGGCACTGCCCTCCAAAGCAGCCCCATGTGAGGGCTCACTCCCATGATCCTTTGCTGGCCACAGCCATCAACCACCGTGAAAGACTGTCCTCTTAGCCTAACTAAAATCTCTACAGCACCCATGGTTTTCAAAACATTTTTCCTTCTGACTTTTGATCCCCCTTGTACCTGTGTGAGGCAGGCAGGGCAGGCTGGTGATCTCTACTGTTCTGATGAGGACACTGAGGACGCCAGAGAGGAGGTGACGAGCTCAACATCATAGGGAAGATTATCGGCAGAGCCAGGATTTTTTTTTTTTAAAGAATGAATAACCAGATGTGTATTTATTTTTGTGTTGGGTTGATTGATGAAATCCCTGGGAGAGCACAGGATTATGAAAGAAAACATTTTTTAAAAGGCAAGCATAACATGGTTTTTAGAAAAATAGTGCTATGATAGATATAAATAGCTATTCTTATACAAAGCAGTAAAGTCATAGTAGATACAACAAGACCTGATATAGGTTAGAAATATTGGATATTTGGGTCAGAAATGATGAATGTCTAAAAGTATCCTACCTTGTATAGCTTTCATTTACTTACAGAGCCTATTATTTTGTGGATTATGATTAAAAAGCTACATTTCCAAAAAAGACTTTTCATTATAATTATATTCACATAATTGCTATAATTTGGAGCCTTAATTCTGCCAGATTTTCATTAGTTGGCAGAGCAAGAATTTACGTTTCGGTCTCTTGTCCCCAAATTCTGGGTGCCTGCACTTGACCTTGGTTGTGTCGAGGAAGCCGTGGGTCAAAGGCATGGAATTTGAGGTCTGAGAGTCCTGGTTTCAGATTTAAGCTCTTTACTCACTGCCTGTTCACCTTGAGCAAGCTTTTAAAAAATCATTTTAAGCCTCAGTTTCCAGACTGGTAAAATGGAGATAATATTGGCTACCTCCCGGGACTGTTGTGAGGTGTAAATGAAATAACGATAGCCTGCAAAATAATAGGTACCCCGTGAATTTTAGTTCTCTTTGCTCCCTTTCACCATCCCAGGCACAGGGGAGCAGCTATGAGGGGTGGAGGTAGTGGGTGGCGGTGACAACTGGACAGACTGGGCTCCTCAGGCAAAGGCACTCAGACTGGGCAGGAACCAAATGTCATTTGTGAGGCCACTCCCGATTTATGGGATTTGGTACAAAGGCTTTGAAGAGGCAATAAAATTCATATTCTGCTAGGAAGTCACAACAGCTGAGAGTCCTGACTTAGCAAACCAAATGCAACATTTTTTTACAAGACAAGGGATTCTGGATGGGTACGAAAATCACCGTCTAATGAGATTAGCTTTCTGGAATAAGAATGGGGTTTCCCAAGAGTAACATGCCAACACCCCAAGAAGAGGGTATATAAACGCCCCAGAGAGGCCTTGAGAGCCCAGAACCTGAGCTTCTTGCTGATCTGCGACCTTCATCTGCTAGCATCATGGCCACCCAGATCTGCTCCCCAATCTTCTCTTCTGGGTCTGTCAAGGGCCTCTGTGGCACAGCAGGTGGCATCTCTCGGATGTCCTCCATCCGCTCTATGAGCTCCTGCAGGATTCCTAGTCTTTCTGGTGGGATGGGATCTGCCTCCTCCATCAGGCCGGGTCTCACTAGCCTTGGGAGCTGCTTGCCTAGCTCCTGCATGTCCTCTGGGTGCCACCCTTCTAGCTTTGTTGGGAGCGGGGTGCCTAGCTCCTGCATGTCCTCTGGGTGCCACTCTTCTGGCTTTGCTGGGAGCGGGGGTTGGTTCTGCGAGGGCTCCTTCAATGGCAGCGAGAAGGAGACCATGCAGTTTCTGAATGACCGCCTGGCCAACTACCTGGACAAGGTGCGCCAGCTGGAGCGGGAGAACACGGAGCTGGAGTGCCGCATCCGGGAGTGGTATGAGTCTCAGAGCCCGTACATCTGCCCAGATTACCAGTCCTACTTCAAGACCATCGAGGATCTCCAGCAGAAGGTAAGGGGGACGTGGCCCCTCTCCTGCTGGGCAGAGCTGGCCTCTCTCCTGCTGGGCAGCCCAGCCCTGGGGGGTGGGGTAGGGGGCTGTCTCTCCTAAGGGACTACAGATGGGACTGTAGCTCTTAGGGATTCTCCTGTCAAGGCAAGGTTTTCTCTCTAAGGTCTTGGTTTTTGGAGGATCCAGACACTTCTGCTGCTTGTAACCTGTTGCTGGCCATTCTTCTCCTCTCTCCTGTCGCAGCCGTAGGAAGGGCAATAACATGCACCAAGCTGCTACTAGACACAGGCACTGTGCCTGACATGTGCCTCTCCACGGCTCACTTACTCCTCATCTTGGAGAGAGGGGCATTACTGGACCCATTTAACAGATGCGGAAGTTGAATTTTAAGGAGGTTCTGAAACTTGCCCAAGGTCACGTGGCCTGTCAGTGTTGGATGCAGAGCCTGATTCCAGGTCGGTCTGGTTCTCTCCAGTCACCTTAGTGCATCCTACTGTGCCACTGGGGGCTACAGACATCAGGACCGACGGCCACTGACATTCCTATGATGTATCTCCTAGGACTGACGCTTCCTTCATACCTGGGCCCAGGGCTCAGGGCTGGAAATTCTGAAGGTGCTGGTGGCATTCAGAGGCATGGCCTCTGTGAGATGGCTTACCCCCTCCCACCTGCCCCCACCCCGCTGGGCCTTCCCCAGCTCATGGGATGCCCCTTGTTCTCCAGATCCTGCTGACAAAGGCTGAGAATACCAGGCTGGTTCTGCAAATTGACAATGCCAAGTTGGCAGCTGACGACTTCCGGACCAAGTGAGTGGGCCCGATCAGGGGAGGTTTCTGTGCTGCTCCCTTTCCTTTGTCCCTTGCCTTTGGGAGCTGGTTAGGTGGGAATGAGGCCAGATGGAGCTGTAAGTGGAAACGCAGTATTGACCTTGGATCCCTTCCGGGTCAAGGGAAAAAACCATCGTGCTGCCGACCCCAAATCAGCCACTGCAGTTGGACAGCAGGGCAGGGGGCCCTGCCTGTGCGTGGCTCCTTGGCCACAGACTTGGCAGAGTTCCTTGTGTGCAGGTACGAGTCGGAGCTGGGCTTGCGGCAGCTGGTGGAGGCCGACACCAACAGCCTGCGCAGGATGCTGGATGAGCTGACCCTGTGCAAGGCTGACCTGGAGATGCAGGTGGAGTCCCTGAAGGAGGAGCTGCTCTGCCTCAAGAAGAACCACGAGGAGGTGAGGCTGGTGCTACACGACCTCCCAATATTTCCCACCCAGTGGGGAGCCACCATCAACCCTGGGGCATAACAACTGACAACCACTTCCGCAGCGACTCCAGCTGACATTTGTTGATGACTACACTTACTATGTACCAAGAACTATACAGAACAATTTGCCTTTCCTTTTCATTTCCTTTCATCCTCACAATAATCCCAGGAGGGATATACTAGTAACAAGCTCCATTTTACAGATGAGGAAACTGAGGCACAGAGAGGTTAAGTCTCTTGCCTAAGGTCATACACATCCTACACTCCTGCCCATGACACCAAATCTCCCTTTGGACTGGAGTGCATGATAATTCTATTTGCCTGGTGCTTGCATCGTTTTATTTTACTCTCCCCAATCTCCTGATGAAGTAAGTATAAGTCCTTGAGGAGACTGAGGCTCAGAGAGGTTAAGTATCTTGTTTAATGTCACAGAGCTGGCAACTGAGGGAGGGGGTTTGAACCTAGGTCAGTTGAACCCCCTCGTCCAACATCCTTTTCACCACCTTATGCCATTTTGCCTCCTCTGCAGGAAGTCAATGCCCTCCGTTGCCAGATCGGGGACCGACTGAATGTGGAGGTGGATGCCGCTCCCCCAGTGGATCTCAACAAGATCCTGGATGATATGAGATGCCAGTATGAGGCCCTGGTGGAGAATAACCGTCGAGATGTGGAGGCCTGGTTCAACACCCAGGTGGGGCTGCGGGCAGCCCAGGACCACCAGCTCCTGGGGTGGGGTTACCCTTGCCAGTTGTTTCACTTGGTCTAACCATACTCCGGGCCCTCTCATGTTCCTCAGACCGAGGAGCTGAACCAGCAGGTGGTGTCCAGCTCGGAGCAGCTGCAGTGCTGCCAGACGGAGATCATTGAACTAAGACGCACGGTCAACGCCCTGGAGATCGAGCTGCAGGCCCAGCACAGCATGGTGAGTGGCCCCTGCCTGAGATCCTCCGGCCTCAGTAGGTGGGTTATCATGGGGTGTGATCACAGTGATATTCAGAATCCCAGGGCTGTGGATGTCTGGCCGGGATTCCCTTCTATTGGCAGTTCTCCCTCTTTCCTGCTGCAGCGGAACTCCCTGGAGTCCACCCTGGCAGAGACGGAGACCCGCTATAGCTCCCAGCTGGCCCAGATGCAGTGCCTGATCAGCAATGTGGAGGCCCAGCTGGCTGAGATCCGCTGCGACCTGGAGCGGCAGAACCACGAGTATCAGGCTCTCCTGGATGTCAAGGCCCGGCTGGAGTCAGAGATCGCTACCTACCGCTGCCTGCTGGATGGAGAAGACTGCAGGTGAATGGCTGTGGGCCTGGTGGAGCCAAGGTTGGGGAAAGGGCTCACCTAGACCCACCCTTGGTGCCCCAGTGACCGCATCAGTCCTAGAAGTGGTTTTTGCACAGATGAAGGGGGAGCTTCAAAAGCCTCTTGAAAGTGATTCCTTCCAGTCCCAGGCTCTGGTCATTCACAGGAGGACAAGCTGGCCCTACACACAGCACTTGTCCAACCATTATTTTTGGCTGGGAGTTTCTAGTCTTGACTCCTGCAGCCCTTGGGGATTTCAGAGGCACTGTCTGAGGCTGTCTGTTGTTGTCACCCACCTATCTTACTGATCCCCCAAATCTGTTTAATCTGGATGTCGGTGCGATGCCCCAATGTCGCACACCCCCTGATATGATTTTGTTTCCTCAGGCTGCCTCCTCACCCTTGTGCCACAGAATGCAAGCCTGCCATGAGAGTTCCTTACGGCTCGAGCATGCCCTGCCCGCCGGCTCCCCACATCAGCACCCAGGTCCGCACCATCACTGAGGAGATCAGAGATAGGAAAGTCCTGTCCTCCAGGGAGCACATGCAGCCCTGCCCGTTGTAACCGGGGCCCACAGGAAGGAGGACACCCCTGTGGCTCCCCGCTCTAAGTGACCCCCTTTCCCTAGAAAGGCTCCCCGCTCAGCAGGTTTTTCTAACAAAATACTTCTTATGTGGTCTTCCTGGACTTAACTGCTTTTATGCATGCACAACTAGGTTTCCCTGGAAATTTACCCAATAAAGTGTGTTCTCTTGGCATAGCAAACTCGACTCTGTCTATTCTCATGTGGTTAGGTTGTGGGGGTGTTTGATCAGGGGTTGCAATAATGTTCTGGGGTTTGGTTTCAGGCCTGTCTTCTCTGGCTCTAAATGGTAGGAAGTGACAGGGTGATGAAAATATTTAATAATGGGGATACTCAGGCTCTAGTCTACAAGAACAGATGCTGACCTAGTTGGGATGGGTGCTGGCCATAGCCCACAGAATTATCAGCCCTGCCCATGGGTACCCACCTGGGTTGACTCCAGAAGAGACAAAGGCTCCCAGGCCAGTCCTCAGCAGCCCTGCCTAAATCTGGTTGTTACCTCTCTCTTTTCTCCAGGTTCTCCCTTGTCCAGCTCCCATTAACCTGCTCCCCCAGGCCTGACACTGGGGGACAGTTCAGGAGAAGGGGTTCCAGGACCAACCAGAGAGAGGCAAACTCCAGGCCACCAGCCTGGGCTAACTACCCCAGGGAGGGGAGTTGGGGTGAGCTGGGAGATGAAGGTGGGAGGTGAATCCAAGTCCCTGACACTGGATACAGAGCTGAAGTGAAGGGTGGCGGGGACAGGGAAGTGTGTGGGGAGGTCAGACACGGAGCAGGGGGAGAGGACCTTGAGACAGGGCAGGCTTCAGAGTGCCCTGGACTCTATTGGCTGAGCTATGCCTGCCTGGGCATTGAACCTGACCGTGCCAGGTCCTGTACCCCTCTGATCGAGGAGCATGGCCTGTGAGAATCCTGAGGACCTCACACTTCTGTTTCTTGCCTCATTCTTCAGTTGAGAACACAGGCCCAGAAAGGGCAGTGACTTGCCCCAGGCCACACAGTGGTGAGTGTTAGAGACAAGGCCATTGCTCAGCTATTTAGACTCTGATTCTGGTGCCTTTCCCAGCACACAGGCTCTCACGTCTCTCCATATCTGTGCCTGTGTCTGTGTGTGTCTCTTCTTTTCTGCCTCTGGGCTCTCACTTGAGCCCAAGAACTCCATGGGAAAGACCTGGCCCTGCCTTATGTCACCAGGAATTTGGTGCTTACCCAGAGGTGCAGCAAACACATCTCAGGCCTTAGGGAAAGATGTGCGTGGGCAGACTCGGAGCATCCTGACCTGAGCTTAGCTTTGCACTTGCGGTGGGCACCCAGTCATGTCATGTGACCTCTCTGGTCTCGGCTGGTTCATCTGGGGAATGGGGCTGCAGGAGGCTCAATAGGACAATGTGTGTACAGTACTTGGAGGTGGCAGCTACAAGCGTTGGTGTTAAATGAAGGGTCCCCAGATTGAGAGTGGGGAATGGGAAACCCCCTGGGTGGACCCAAGCTCTGCTTCTTTACATGGCAGGACACTGGCGGGGCCCATGCTGTCAGTCAGCAACACCCTTGGAGCTGGACAGTGAGCCTGAAGGCCTTGCCCTCAGAGGACCTGCTTGGCTTTCGGGCAAGAGGCCGGGAAGGAGGGCCCTTTCACATGGTCTCACCCTCACCCTGCCCCGCTGCTCTCTGTGCTCTGCTCTCCTGCTCTGGGGCCTGAAGTCTAAAATTACTGGCTCATGCCTGAGGCTCAGGAGGTGAGAGGTGGGCAGCCAGGAGTGCAGAGTGCAAACACCCCTGTTTGCTGGTACATGGAAACAATCAGGGATTGGGGAGTAGACTGAGCCTTCCGTTCCGGCTATAGCTTGAGCTGCCTGGCTACTGCATCAGAGCGGGCAGACAGACTGCACAAGATTGTGACCTGACAAATAATTATACTGCGAACTCCTTGAACCATGCAGTGCATTCCCTTTTTATGCACACTCTGCAGTTTACAGAGTGCATTCACAGCCTCATCTCATGCACGCCAACAGCCCTGAGTGTCAAAGCTACACATTTATGTAGCTTTGTCTGGCTTTTTATTAAATTGTTCAGAGCATCTGCATTGGTTAAGGAACCCTTCCTACCCTCAGCCTTATGCACGCTCTCAACTGAGTTCCAGTTTAAATCACTAACCGGTGTGTACAGCAGAATTCAACACTGTTGTGGACTGGGCAACGGCACTGGTAGACTTTAATCAACAGATATGTACTGAACACCCCATGCTGGAAAACCTAGTGCTAATACAGGGGCTCATCTGGGGAGAAGGGGAGTAGGGAACTGTGGAGAATAGGCACAGGCCTCAAGGAGCAGATAGTCCATGTCTGGAGACCATCCCACACACGACCACACAGCACCAGGGATGGCAGGCGTGGGTGTGGGCATGCTGCCAGATTCTTCCTGGGGCGACCAGGGAGGGCTTAGGGGAGATTTAGAACTGGTGGAAACCTTGATGGACGGGTAGAAGAAGGACGAAGGAGGGAAAAGGGTATTTGAGAACATGGCCAGGTATAACTGGGTCTTGTTCTGGGGATAGCACAGACCACATCTGAGCAGAGTGCAAAGGTCCTGTAGGCAAAAGCTATTAGGATACTTGCTAAACAACATCAGTTCTTGCTGACAAGGGTTTCTAGGTAATTATTCTATTCAAAAGAATGCTTTTTAGAACGGAAGTAGACCAGAACAATTTATAGGCTACTTCATAGCTTTGAAACTATTTATATATTTTATAAAATTACCTGAAAAAAAATTCATGAAGGGTTAGCCACACCTTTCAGACCAAATTGGCTTATGGGCCTGTCTCCCTTTGGGCAGAATGGCTTTTGGCTCAGAGAACACTTTGCTCTCTGCCAAAGGGGCTGGTTCGCCTGGGCAGGTGCTGCTCACCTATACAGAGATGCCTAACTTTTTCCATTGCTGAGTCTTAGTTTCTTCATCTGCAAGAGTAGGGATAGTAAGACTGACTTTGAAAGTAGATTTCCCTCCCAGCTCCCTACATACATTTTCTCTCCTTCCTTCCTCATTGCCTCACTTTCTATGCTCCCTTCCTCTCAAGTCCTTTCTTTCCTAGCACAATTCACCATGGTCAAAGCATTCATTCATTCATTCACTCAGTCATCCATCCATTCATTCTGAGACATCTAGGAGCCCAGCACTGTGCTTGACACTACACAGATTTCAAAAGAAGTACGAGGTCAATCCTTGTCCCCAAGAACTTACAGTCTCCCTGGGAAGACAGGGCTGAAACATGAGACAATTTGAGGACATCAGTGAACAGAGGGCCAATGGATCAATCATAAGTCTCTGCTATGGGCGTTCAGAGCTGGGAGGGTACAGGAAGGCTGGAGCAGGGAGCAAACATTCCAAGCCTCAGTTTACTCATCTGTTAAATGGGGATGTTGGCGATGTTGCTCTCATGAGGTTGTTGTGAGGAGTAAATGAGACAATGCATGGAGAGAGCTCAGCATGGGGCCTGGCAGGTGCTAAGTGCTTAGTGAGTGATGGCTACTGTCATTAGCCTTGTTATTAATAGGGCTGTGTAGGGGAGAGAAACCCCTTTCAGGTAGCACAGGTGTGGAGCGCTGCCTGGGAACACATGTGACCCCCGGGGCTGTGTAAACAGCATGGGGCTTCCTGGCCTCCACTGCTGTGGCTTCTCTGGCCTGCAGGGCGGCCCTTGTTGTGTGCAGAGCATATTCCAGGAGGCTGCAGCTTAGCAGGGTTTCAGTTGAGTCCTGTATTCACCTGAGTGGGGAGCACAAACACCCAAGGAGGTGCACCAGTCTCTGAGCTCAGCTGCGTCCTTGCACCAGGGCATGGATTTCCAGGGAGGAGAGGCCGAGGCAGCTGATGGGGCTCTGAGATTGTGCTGGGCGGGCGGGTGCCAGTCACACCAGGCCCCTAGGGTATGGGAAGGGCACAGTGACTCACAAGAGCTCTGCATCTGAGGGCCCTAAACACACGCACCTGGCCCGTGGGATGGTGGCCTGTGTGCTCAGAGCCCATCCACACTGCCTGGTGACAGTTGCTTAGCATCACCAGTGTGAGTACAATAAGACTCCACTCACATGGGGACTGGCAATCATAGAAGCTGCCCTTGCTGAGCACTTACCATGAGCAGATGCTGTTCTAGAGGCTTCACACTCCTATAATCCTCAGAGCAGCCCTAGGCAGCAGGTACTACTATCTTTTTCTCAGTTTACAGATGAGGAAACTGAGGGATGGAGAGAAGTTAAGTCACAGAGTTGGTATGTGGCGGGGCTGGGATTTGAACCTACAGAGTTCACATGTAACCTCGATTTTGTGTTGCTTCTCCTGGGACAGCAGAGGCTGTTGGCATCCCTTTGTGGAGCCTAAACTATTTGTCCTTTTTATTCTCCACAAAGCCTGACCATATCCAGCAGCCTGGGGCAGGATTCCGGAGCAGTGGTAGAGGCGGGTGGTGTAGTGGAGAGGGTTGGCGTTTTGGTTCTACTGGCAAGCTCTTATCATCCCTGAGTCTTGGTTTCCTCAGCTTCTAGAAGGGGATAATAAGCTCAGGCTCAAAGGGCAACATGAGGATTGAATGAGACCACGCTCTGGAAAGCACTGATCGCCCTGCCAGGAAGGCTGCTGGTGCTCAGCTCACAGCTGTTCTCCTGATGGGACAAAAATACCTGCCCCCTAGAAGAGTAAGCAGGACCCCATACCGCAGGGCAGACCAAGAGGCAAGACCCACCTGCCCTCTCGCTCAGCTCCTAGCCCCTCTTGCAGGCCCACCTGCTTGGCAGGTTGGATTTGTTGGGGAAATAATCCACCTCCATCAAGTGGTCTAGACACCTCCTGTAGCAGAGATAAAACTCTGAAGGTCAGCAGCCTCTTTGAGCCTTCTCAGGAGGCCTGTGAGTCAAGGCCACTCTCTCTGTCCCTGGGCAACCAGAGGAAAGTCTTCTCCAATTTTCAACCAAAGCCTGGAAGACATACCTCCCTACATATGGAGGTGTCTCCACAGGCGGGTGCCCACTTAGCTGACCTCTAGTTGTTTTGGCTGGAGCTGAGGCTGCACAACCAGAACAGACTTCCTGGCAAGGGAGGCAGTGGGGATGTGTCCACTG